AATTTCGTGCATGTAGTGTCTCAGCTATTTTTAATTGCATTATATGGTTCCTTAATGCCCTATTGCATTAAAGTTATGCCTGAACTATATAATGGCAACTGAATTGTCTTACGTAATTCCAAAATAACACATCCTTTTGTTCTTAATAAATAAGAATCGAGCTTTGAGTGGGGAAGAAGATGAAAGTCTCACGCAATTGCAGAATGATGGCTGTGTGGTAGGAAAGAAATATAAGGATCTTTGAAATTTTCATGGGAAGGATGTGGAGTTTTATGAGTTCAATTTAGGCACAGTGGTGCATTCGCTCTGGCCATATAGGACCTCTATTGGTTTCTTTTCTTCTCAGTGTTATTATAGACATTTCTACATTTATGCAGATTGGTGGGCTGCTGTCACTATAGATGCTCTTTTGCTTAGGTACGATAATTATAATTTGATGGTCTCTTTTCCGGTGGTTTAAAATTTTTGCATATTCAAATTGTTTGTATTTTTACAATTCAATAGAAGCATTGTTCCTCGATCAGCAAAGCTTTATCAAATTCGTTGGGTTAATTATGTTTTTTACTCAAATGAGACCTAACCCCACATTTGGTTTAGCAATGGAAAAGAAGGAAAGAACATAATATAAGTAAATTCCCTTGATTTCCACCTTTTGGTTACTAATGAAGATGAGAAAGATAAGGGAGGGAAATTTGAAGAAAAGGTTCTCTACAAAATATGTGAAATTTGAAGAAAAGGTTGACCGTACTAACAAAAGCTACCAACACTGGTTATTTTACCTTTCTATTGTTCTTAAAAAATTATGTATTTTTTTTCTCTCCTTGATTTTCTCTGGTTGAAAGTGAACCAAGCATAGAGTAAAATAATGTTGTCATCAGATCATATTCAAACTATCAACCTAATCTAAGTTCCAATCAAGTTTCATACCTACCACCTTTTGTTTTATGGACATTGATGGCTTCAATAAAAAAAAGATATTATGGTTTTTCTGCTACACAACCTTTTTCCTTGTTGAATTCTGCTACATAACCTTACTTCGGGAAGTTCTTTCATTGAGAACTACTTATAATGAACTTGCTTTCCTACTTGACAGTAGAAATGGTAATAGACTAAACAGAAACATTGCACACCTCTGTGTCTGTATGACTGCTGAATTCCCCTGCTCTTTTGATGTAACCTGGATCTTTACTGCAACCAATTGTGGTAGATATCAGAATAAAATATAGAACGGAAGAATTGCGGTAGATATACAAGGACATGTATCATTAAAGCATAACTTTGCCAGGCTGGTAATCTCACTTGGAAATGTATTAAAGATATTAGGTTCCTCCAAAATAGGATCGGGGGGGGGATATGTTCGGTTATCTGGTGGTTGGGAAAGAACCACCCTAAGTGCTAAATGAGTACCAAATTCTCCAAACCATATGTTCAAGTATCAATGCGAGCTCAAATTTTCTTACTGGCTCAATGACAAAATAACTATTTCGGAAGAGATAAAAACAAAATTTCAATTGGCATTTAATTATGGCTTCTAGAAAAAGGATTACCTACTGCACCTGTAGAACATAATCAGCGAACCCACAGCTAACGAAATAGCAGCCCATCCCCAAAGGCCAACAGCAGCAGTAACCTTTGTCAGATTAGGAGCTAACATGAGTAAGTATGAAGTCAGTAATGAATGATTGGCGAGGGAACACAAATCTATCTGCAATCTAAAGGAAAACTGGAACATCATAGCTTAACTACCTGCGAGGACCGAGTTCATAAAGAGAATTGTTTGAAAGATTATTGTACACAACAAGACAGGAGCTAAACCAATATCTGCCATCTTCCCGCTGCAAAATTTGTCTCTCCAACGGTTACTGTGAGCCCGCTGCTGGTTAGCCTGCACAAAATTCAAAAAGTCCTTTTTATAAGAAATTCAGTAATAACGGCCACATGAGAATTACCCATGAGCATTACCAAAGTACAGAAAAAGCATAAATCATGGAGCCACTTTTTTTTAAAAAAAATTATTATAGGGGACAAACTTTCATTGGAGAAATAGAAAGCGTATAGAGCTTTGAACAAGAAACCCAACAAGCTAAAACGGAATAGGCCCTCTACTTGAACCAAAAATATCAACAGAACTGGCAATACCCAATACTGTAAACTATAAAGGAAAACGAACTGTATTCCAATCTGAAATAAATTAAAAAAAAAAAATTGCAAAAAGGTATTGTCCCTAAATCCAAGGAAACTAAAGCCCAGAATCGAACCCTCCACAAATGGTCAAACTCTTCCCTTATCACATCCTCAAATGTTCTTTTGTTCTTCTGCAATATTTGTGACCATGTATAGAATGTTTTTTTTTATTTTTTTATTTCTCTAATTTAAATAGAAATGAAATCTTTCTTTACATTACAAGCCTACTATCTTCCGCACCAAGTGGCCACATAATTGTGCAAGATTGAATGTACATATCAACAGAACACCCTAGACGCACTTCTCCACTCCATCTACCTTGCTCTAATTTTTATAGGTAATAAATGTTCTTGATTTTTCAGTTTTTATAGACTAAACTGAAAATCCCGAAAGTATCACCATTACCGTATATTACCATCTATCCCTCGACCCTTATCTCCAGTTCTACTAAATTGCAAGCCCTTTTTTTTTGGTGTGAGAGGGGCAACAAGGTCTGTAAACAGGAGTTCAAAAATTCAGAAAACTAAACCAACTATGGCCTGAGGCCTACAAACACCAATCATATCCTCAAAAAGGAAAGACCTAACACTAGGAGGAGGCGCTTGGAAAAGACTTAGACCCAATTCAGCCTTAGAGCCCAAGTCAGCCATCCAGTCAACCACCATATTCCTCTCCCGATAAGTTAGATTATTTTGCAGTCCCAAACTTCATTCATTATCTCTTGGCAACCCAAAATAATTGAGCCAAGAGGCTGAAGGTTATTCACATCATGACAGATGAGATGAACAACCACAACAGAATCTGCCTCCAAAATTACTTTGCTTAAACCCCACATCCTAGGCCAACTTTAGAGTCTTAGACCACAATATATACCCCATAGCTCAGCATCCAAGACTTGACCATTCCCCAGATGTGCTACAAACCCAGCAACCCACTCACTACACCCCCTGTAGCAATGCGTCATTGAGATCCCTTCCTACAGAAATCAGTATTGATTTTAATGAATCCACTGGAAGGGGGTTGCCAAGCCATATTTAAATTAGTCTACTTCACCTGAAACCCTTATGGCCACGTTTGGTGCCTAGGATTGGATTGGAGTGGATAACTCACAAAATTCAAGGTTCAACATACCTTGAATCTAGTGAGTTATCCAATCCTATGCAATCCTAGGCACCATACATGACCGATGATAACTATAAAGTACTTTGTAATCATTCCTATTAAATTAATTGTTATCAACTCTTTAAAAATTAAAATACAATTTTCCCATTCAAAGATAAAATGTTAAACTCAATTGAAATAATGTTTTGCATTTCTATTGCACAGGAGAAACCCACACATCACTAGAATTCATGTATAAGGATACGTATGACTCTCTGCAATTGTTCCAGAAACAAGCCTATAATATGAATGGAAATTCAACCTTTGGGGAGGCATGTGCATGTGTTATGGAAAGACCATGAGAACCACTAACCAATTTGTTTACCTTGTGTATGTACCATACACAAAGAAAAGAAAAGAAAATGTGAATGACAATAATGGAAAAGTCAATGAGAACCCACAAGTTTTTATTATATGCAACCATTGCAAAATATGATGTCCTGTATCAAAAGCTCTTCCCAAAACACAACCCCATACTAGCAGAACCTTATATTCACATATCTAATTTTCAAGTCCTGTTTAGATTTGGTTGTGAGAAATCTACCAGGAGTGCTAGATATATAAAGTTACGTACAAGGAAAAGAGCGACACGCTGATGACCTTTATCAGATGCAATCTGAACAGGAGTAAAACCAGCATTATCTTTCACCATTAATTCCTGCTTAGTACCGGCATAAACAAGAACAGTGCAAGCCTCTACATTTCCTCTCAAAGCAGCCCAGTGCAAAGGGGTACAACCTAATAGCATAGGATCCTCAAGTCATCAGACCACAAAGAAGACCACCAAAATTACCCCGAAAACAAAAGCACGATTAAAAGAAAAATATCAAACAAAAGACTAAATAAGCAACCAACTAGTTACGAAGAGTCATTGAGAAGTTGCAATTTCATTTTTAACATAAAGCATGATTGGAATTGATGGTTCTCTTGAGGATTGGCAGCCAGATTTATTAACCATTGAAAAAGACTTCAGTATAAGGAGTATAGAAACATGGGCTGAAACTCTTTTCAATTAAAAAAGAAAAAACCACAAAGTGATGGAATGATGTGAGCATGTGTCACTAGTGAGTGCATGCAGGCATACAGCGTTTTTTATTCCTGTTAATTTTTTGCTGGCATTTTATTGTACTACAATTTTCTAAGGCTTTGGATTGTATAAGATTTATCTTCAAAATTTGCAGTGATGGTGCTACCTCTTTTATGTTTCTGGTTTTATTATTTTTGTCTGTTCTTTAATTTATTACGGCTTTGGATTGAATAATAATTATTTACTTGTGCCGATCTTGTTTTCATGTGTAGGGTTATAAAACTATAAATTGAGCTCAGAATTCTTAACCATTGCATATCGGGCCAACATTTAAAATAATAAATGTAATTTGGCTCAGACTTAAAAAAGAAAAGTACAAATTATGGCAATTAGGAACCATCCAAATTCCAATCCAAACCAAAACCATATGAGTTGGGTCAAGTTGGTAAAATACTATTGACAGCTAACCTAGCATTTTTTGGTACCCGCCACTAAAAGTGCATAACCACTCTCTTTTACATGGGCAGTTTGACACATTACATAAACAGCTAAAGTAGAAATTTAATTGTACTATTAAACTAACAAGCACACAATGAATATGCACATTTAGTATACCTTCTTTATCTTGTCTCCCTTGGCTTGCATCTCTAAACAGAAGTAACCTAACTGTATCTGCAAATCCCTTATATGCAGCCCTGGTTGAAAGTATCATAATGATTAATTTTCCTGTAGAGAATCTCACAACAAATAATTTCATGTTTCCAGATATGTAAGATTGCTTCACAGAACATCATAATTTGATCAATGACTTCAATTTTGCTAATCATATGTGACAAACTTTTAGGCTCAGCCAATGATCAAAATAGACCAATCAACATAATTGGAAAAGATAATCCAGACCAAAGCCCCACTAGTGTCTATCACAGTGTACATAGAAAAAGGTACAGAAAAATTAGCTATTCCCCTTTTCAGTATAAACAATAAAGAACTAGTTCAATCATTTATACACTCCTTACTACATATGCAGAAAACTACTTGAGAATGAACAAATTTAATTCATGAGACTGCAGGTTGATACTGGAGTAATTGAATGATTAAAAGCATGGTTTCAATGTCACAGAATATCTATGTACACATAAACCATGTCAATATGCCACAGTTAATAGCCTTTTAGCATACCAATGAAGAGGACTCCTCCCCTCATTATCAGGTGCATCAAAATCAGCATGATACTTTGCAACAATGTGATTCAAGAAAGATGTTTGCCCATATTGAGCAGCAACGTGAGCTGCCTGCAGTAATTCAAACAAGTTATGAAAAAAGAGAACTATTGGCACAATACATATCCATTGCATGCATGATAATATAATAGTGGCTTTATAAAAGAAATCATACTAAATATAGTAATCATCGATAAGGCAATAATAAGTTCCTACATTTTTTGTTACTAACATAGCTATGAATGTGATTGTCTGTGTACGCATATAATGGAAAATGCTCTTGCTAGGCATTCTGGCAACATAAGATGCTTATTGTTGCCGAACTGTGAATCTGGACCATTGATCATCTTGGTTCTAGCCTGACTGTTTGGTCCAGATTCATCGGTAACATAAACTTCTTTTTTCTTTTCCACATTGTCTAGCAAGTAAACATTTCTAGGATGTCTGGCAACACAGTGCCGGTCAACCTGCAGTGCAAAAGCCTGGTTATCCACAATGCTGTTAACAAGAAATTTCTTAGATATGTATAGACTTCATAGCAACTTGTGTTGAAGACTGGACTTCATTTTCTGTCGTTTGATCTCATTAATGACCAATACTTAATTTGAGCGAAATTAATGACACAGACTTATGACCCATGAATAGCCTGCTTCCTTCCTCGCCTACGTAAACCATCCAACCTCTCCACTCTCAATTCTTCATCTCCGTCCAAATACAATGGTAGAATCAAGGTTCTAAAAGTTCATATTGTTTAGTGCTTACAAAATGATCTCAATCTCAATCTACTGAAAGTTAAAAGTCCTCTAAAAGAAAATGACATCAATAAACATAAACACAGACACATGAACTGAATAAATTAAAAAATCAATAACACATGCATTTCCCACAAACACGTGTAGAAGAGTAGGACAAAACTATTGGGAACTACTTTTAAGGAAATGGGTCCCAAGTCAGAAGAGTAATGAGCAGGACATAGAGAACCAAAATAGATATCACAGGATGAGCACCGTTCAGGGAATTTGCTTTTCAGCCTCATCCTAAATTCTCTCCTCTGCTCTTCAACCACCAAGCTTCTTTAATTTCTTTTGCAAAAATCAAAAGCGGTGGCTGGTGATATGGCCATTTAGAACTCCAAGAAGTCACAGAGGACCATAATTTGGAGATTCTTCTGAGGTAGAGAGAGATGTATCATTTCAGAGGAACAGAAGATATGGTTGTGGAGGATTTGGTGCAAATAATTGTTGGGTAGTCCCAGTTTATTTGGGCGGAAGTCAAGAAGTAAGAACTGAGATTGGAGAGGTGGTGTAGTGTTGAGAAGTGAGGAAGAAGCAGGTTTATATCCACGGAATGTGGGTCTCTCTCATTATTTTTACAACAACAAAAAAATCATAATCCTTGCATAATCAAATACCAGGTTTATCTTATTCGAAATGGCCAATACTCAACCAAAAGGGAATTAAGAAAAATAGAAAGAAAATGCATTTAAAAGGAGAAAGTAAACGAGAAAATTACCCGGTATCCATTTACATCAGCAGCCTCAACCCTAGCTCCATTCTGCAAGAGCACATCCGCCGCCGCAATTGCACCCTGCACAGCTGCCCAGTGCAACGCTGTCTGTTGTATATTCTCAGTCGCATTGACATCGCCACCATGCTTTGACAACATCAATAAAAAAATATGTTCATCGAAGTCAAACTGACAGCGCTACACAATGCAGCAATCCAATACCAAACGTACAACAAACAAGCTCAGCCAGCTCTTATACCAAACACAATCCCAGAATTTTACCAACCCCAACCCCCCTCCCCCCAAACAAACCAACCAAACAAAAATTCAACATTTTCACACAAAGCCACTGCATAACTCAATCTTTCCTAACAAACCCAACACAGAATTCAACTTCTTTTACAAACCCAGCACAGAATTCAACTTCTTTTAAAAACCCAACACAGAAAAACAAGCAAATTCACAGAAATAGAAACGGCATAAATACCTCAATTATATACTGAGCTATATCGGGGAAGTTATTAAGAGCAGCCCAATGGAGGGCGTAGTAGCCATGGACGTCAGGGTTGGAGAGAGAGGCACCGTCTTGTTCGACAAACTTTCTCAGTTTCTGAAAATCGCCATAAGCAGAAGCGGAGAAGACGTCGATCACCGGCACCTCGGTAGGGTTTTTCTGGGTTTTGGAGTCCGATGACACCACCTCTATCTCTGAAGAAGCCATTTCTTGAGAGCTAACCGCATAAGGGAGAGTAATCTGTAATGGGGGATCGAGAATTTGAGATTATACAGTTTCCAAGTGAATTGGGCACGGTTTATTGCTTAATTTCGTGTTTGCGAATTGAGCTTTCTCTGCCTCTCTAGAAATGGTGTTCGAAAATTAACTGTGTATTTTGTTGTCACGTGTGTATTTGGAAATGGTGAAATTGATGGTGATGGTTTCGTTGTATCATATGCATCAGCATGAATCGTGGCGAATATATCAAAGATAATTGAATAAAGGCTTTTAGGGTTTTATTACTTTACCAATTTTGGAATGTAGAAGTAGACGTCGGTTAGGTTAGGCCACTTCGCCAGGCAAATAAGCCCGCATTTTTTACCCAAGTTCGAATTCTGCTAAAGGTAAATTAGATTAAAAAAGATAATTGTGTTTCATAAAAATAGGATTTATTATCTGATTTTTCTTTTAATTTTAATTTTTTTTAAATATGAAAATGTGTTAATTTACCATATTATCCTCATTTAATTAATAATTTCAATTCTTAATTGTGCATTAACCAAAAGCATTTTCTAGTATTTTGAATTTTTTACCATTCTCTACCTTTTGCTTTATATATATAGATAGATATAGACTAATATGGAATAATTTAGATGACCACATAAAAATATATATATGTATAACACAAAAATAGAGCATTTATGTTCACCACTTTAATCCAAAATGTACCCTTATCATCTTTCTTAATTTTTGACATGTGTCATCTCCGTGGACATAACCATGTTCCCATAAATACAAAGCTAAAGAAAAAGTAAAAAGCAATCTTGTTAAGCTGAATATTTTTTTTAAGGTGATATATAACTTTTGTAGAATAGTTCTAATAGCCATGTGCTTGTGGTATTTCTTTTGAATTTTGTTCATAACCCTTTTTTTTTACGGATGTTAGGATAATTTGCAACAAATGTCTCCCTTCTCCCCCAAAATTCTTCCTCTTCTCTCTTGAATCCAAAAATTCCCTAACCCAAGTGGTGGTGGTTACAAATGTTGTTATAATTAATATTGGGAAGTTATATTTTCATTAGAAAAAAGTTTCCTTTAAAAACCAAACCAAGCCTGCCGGTTCAGTCCGATTCAGTTGGTGTTGACAGTTCATCTTTTTTTTATGCCCACCCTTTCATTTCAGTTCATCAGTTTTTATGCCCGCCACTTTTATATTTTGTGCATTCTGCACCAAGGTAAACGTAAGTTGCATACAATAAAGCTTGCTCTGTTGTGTGGTACTCCCAGGACGAAAGCCAGCAAAACACAAAAAAGGACCAACAATAAGAAATATGAAGAGGAAAATGAATCAATGGCTGTTGTTTGTGTTCTTTAACATAATACTTGCTACAGAAACTGAAACTGGCAGTACCAATCAGGCGGAGAGCAGTAGGGCTGGCCAATGCGGCAACCGCACTCAAGAATTTCTCCATCAGCCAGCTCTGTAGGATACTTTTGCCAACAATCAAGATTTTCTACAGCTAGAGGCATGTCAACATGGCTTCTATCACATGTTAAGAGAAAAGGAACATGCAAGTACAAAACTCTGAAAAACTAGATAATGTTTGGTGTGTCCAAAAGAGAAATATACTACAAATTTCCATTATATTCACATTTCTTGAGCACTCAAATGAATGATCATGGAAGATGTTCTCAAAACTGAGCTAAAACTAAAGCTCGACAACTTGTGTCTATAGGTGCAGCAATAACTTGCTTCAGTAGTTGTGCAGGAGGAAACCTAAGTATGCTGCCTCTTACAGAAGATGTTAAGTAGATTTATCAGGCTTATCACTTTCCTGTTCAGATTTAGAATCTTCCTTTTTCTCCATAACCTGCTGGATTCCTTCTTGGTACCCATGTATAAAACTTTGAAGAGCATCTTTATATGCAGAAGCTCTTGTCATGTAGACACGCTGTAGAGCAGGCTTTAATGTCTCCATTCCTCCTCTAGCAGCCACAGCTATCAGTTTTTATTTCCAGACAAAAACATTAAACATAATCAGATTTCAAACCCACTTAACTGTAAAACTCAAAGATTTCAAACACAGTCAAAGAAGAAAACCCTATTGCGAGAACAACCCAAAAATAAAAAATAAAAAAGTTGTTTTTATCACAATGGATTTGTTTACACCATCATAACCCGAATTTATAAACGGAAGTTTAGAGACACAGGCAATAGACAGAATACAGTAAATCCAGATACAAAACCAGCCAGAAAGAACTGCATAACACAAGTATTTGCTTTATATCTTCCATCCTTATAATATTTGTTGCTCAAACTGGTTTACTTCATCCTCCTTGCATTATCTCAAAAAGATGAACCACTTCCAATCATGATGAAGCAAGTATAAGTATAATGTTTCAAAGTCGTTTGGATATACAAACCGCTTTTAAAAGTAACTTTCTAACCCACTGAGTTCAAGTACTTACAGCAGATTTGGTGCATATAAAATATTTGAAAGGATTTAATTATTATTGTTTATGCTAATTTGCGTATAAATATAACATGACACTAAATGTGACTCAAATCAACAAACCAAAAGCAAAGATCTCTTATGCATCAATAGTCATCTTCATAGTCATATGTATGCATACACCATGTAAAACAACTAGGCTTTTGATTAAGTTATAATTACGACATTGATTGATATGGTAGCATAATGTTGACATTACTTACCAAGATCCTCTAATGTTGAGGGTTCTTTCTCTTTAGCCGGGCCCTGTGGTCTACCAGGTTTATCTTCACTCTCTTCATCCTTAAAATCATTAGGTCGCAGTTCAGGACCAATATCCCGAACCCAGCTGGCAGCATACAGCCTAGAAGCCTCCTTCAACACCTGACAGCCAATACAAGAAGGTATAAATTACCATCCTTCATGTCAATACCACACATTATAAGCTTTAACATATTCCAAGCATTGAAACAAGTTCATATCCAAATGAAAACAAAACAAAAACTCTATCTAAACCTAAAAGAAGAATAAAAGAAACAATAGCCAAATATTTCACTAGCTCAGATGGTCAGAAACAAAATATAAACTTTGACACACAGCACCTTGAATGTCAAAGCATTCTAAAGCCTAAAAATTGGACCCGACCCACATTTTTAAATAAACGCTTTTGCTCAATAGCACTTTTATCAGTACTGCTTTTGCCAGAAGCAATCCAGAGCACGCGGGGACTAGTTTCTTTTACTTCGTAAAGTACATGAAGAATCAAATCAAGCTTTACTTATTATTACTTCAAAATAATCATGAATTAGAGAAATAAATCAATTGGGTATGAATTTGATCAACTGCAAAGCCCACAGCTTGTGTAATGAGAACCAAAGAAAGGCGTACCAAGAACCGTTCATTCCATGTGAGCTTGCGGCGCTTCTTGATATGAGGAGGGTCTGGCAGCGAAGATGGAAATGCAATCTCTTTCAGATCATAGCGAACGTAATCGTACAGCTTCCTACACACCACCTTCACCTTCATTTCTATGATGCCTCTAACTTCTCACTTTGTACCCAATCTTCTAGCCTTCCAGTGACTTCCATACAGAGAGAGGCTTGAAGAAGAAGAATTTCGAAGTTAGAGAGCTGATGGAGTGGAGCGGCTGCAAATTGGGTGAAGATATCCATGGGTCCATGGGTAGGTGGGCTGGACTAGCCCAACCCAAACAGTGCTGGGTTCATCTGAAAAACAAAAAGATAGCAAAAGCCTCAAACAAAGCATTTCTCAAAACCAAACACAAGACTTCGAGTGTAAGCCCAAAATCAATGCTTCATTAGATTAGCTTGTTGGATTGAAACCTCCCCAAACAAACTAAGGTCATTGGCAAAGAAAAAGTGGGATACATAGCAATTCCATTTCTAGCAACCTTCAAAGACTTCCAAGTTCCAAGAGGATACATTATTATTGATAATATGAGATAATTTTTCCGTACATAACACAAAGATATAAGGGGATAGAAGGTCACCTTCCCTAACCCTAGCACTAGGAGAGAACCTTTCAATTAGCTCACCATTGAGAATGACTTGGTACCTAACAAACATGATGAGAACAAGTAACATCATTAATGAAATCCGAATGCAATCATTATAGGCTTTGAAGAGGTCAATTTTTCAAGTAATAAATTCTTGCGCAAAACCTCTTGTTCAACTCGACAATAAACAATCTACTTCCATGGTAGGAAATTAGCTTGAGTTGAACTAACAACCTTCTGCATGATAGGTTTGAGTTGAGTTACAGAGCTAAGACTAACCACTGCATGATAGGTTTGATGCTTGGGCTATAGGTATAAATGTGAGATATTCGATTTTGAGCTTTTACAAACCCAACCAAACTGCTTTCTTGTATCTTAACGGATTAAGTTGAAGAAAAAAAAAGGTGCAAAACAATAGAAGAAACTAATGAAAATAATTGCTAAGGAGAAATCGATGCTAAGGATTCACATAAAATATGATAAATTATGTGCAAGTTAGTTATGTGAGTTATTGGTCCAATGGTGGAGAATGCTAAGAGCTTGCTGTCACAGGTCACTAAGGATGATTTTACTCATATTCGTTGTACTGCCAATGGTGTGGCCCATTGTCTTGCATGCTTCGCTCTTCATATTGGTGCTCTTGTGCATTGGTTTGAGGAACCTTCTTACTTTATTTCAAATATACTTTTTGAGGACTATAACCAATAGTTTTGGGTATGATCTTTAAGGGGACGGGGGATACTCTTTAAAGGGCAAGGTTTCTTCGTCCGCCTTCGGTTGAGAGGGGAGTCTACTCAGTTAATCCGATGACCGAACTCTTATGTGTAGAAAAACTTGCCTAATCCCTTAGGACATAAGCCAATTTTTGTATTTGGTTCTTCTTTTATCAATAAAATTTTATCACCATTTTCTCAAAATATACAAGTTAGTTATTAGCCGAGTAATTCCTTCACTTTATTATTAGAAATCTCAAGTTCGAATTAAACGCTATTTTGAGCCTCCCGCTCTTTCTTTCTTTCTCTTGTTTTAGTTTTTTTTTTTGGGGGTTCAAAGGCCTCCTAAAAGGGAGTTGTATCGGATCGGATCCCGGTTATTCTCCTATATTCGTCCAACGTTTTCTTGTTCCACATTCCACCCTGTCACTCACTGACACACACATTACAATAAGACCAGCCAATCCAAGCTTACCACTTGTTCTGTGGTTTGAAAGCCCAAGCACAAAAAACAAAACAAAAATTAATAAAAAATAAAGAATAAAACCCCAAATTAAGCGCACTATCGCTTTGACACTCCTTTCAGTCATCAGCTATCACTCTCTCTTCCTCTCGCATCGAAAGCCATGGCCACCGCGAGAGTGCTAACCGTCGCCAATACTTCCTGCTTGCTCTCCAAGACGACGTCGTTCCTTGCCAAGCAGGGGCCATACAGCACCAGCCTCTGCTTTACCAGAAGAAGAGCAGCGTCGTCGTTGTCATCGTCGTCCCGGAGGTCCTTCGCTTGCACAGCTATCTACAACCCCGAGGTTCAGATCAAGGAGGAAGGCCTGCCCGAAACCCTAGACTACCGAGTCTTCTTCGTCGACCGTGCTGGTCAAAAGGTTAATTTGGTTTTTTCCCATTTTCGGTTGAATCCTTCTGTTCTGTTGTTTGTTTGGATTCCGAGAAAATAGATGAAATGAAAAATGTGGAAGCTCCTCATAAATGGTGTTTAATACCATTTTTATGCATTACTGAGGCATTTGGATTTTTATATCTTCAAATGAGATATTTGAATTGATTTTGATTTTAGACGGCATAGATCATTTGCTTCTTTGAGGTCTCTCTCTTTCAAATTTGAATTTTATTTTCAATTTTCAGGTTTCCAGACTGATATAATGCACCTGTTTGTAATTGTAGAAATATGGTTTTGTGTTTTCTTATTTTGAGATTAAGTTCTGACTGTCTCTGAGTGATTCTTAGTTCGAACTTGTATTTAAAAGAGTGAATATGTGTATGCAATTGTAAAAGGAATTTAAATTCCCGGTGTTCAGACACATGGTTGGGTTTCGACATGCTTATAAGTTGACTTTTATCTCAATCTGCTAAAACAATATGTTGGTTTATATAATGTAGGTTTCACCTTGGCATGATATACCTTTGCAAGTGGGTAATGGTGTATTCAACTTTGTGGTTGAAATACCCAAAGAATCGAGTGCAAAGATGGAGCTTGCTACTGATGAGCCACACACTCCGATAAAGCAGGATACAAAGAAAGGAAAACTTCGTTACTATCCGTAAGATTTAGTTTTTACTTTTCCTAAGGTTATATTATAATGTTTGTCCTTGTCTTGGTGCTTGAATATGTTACTGTTGTATCAAGTTTAATTTTTGGCTAAGGCAGCATCATGAATTAGAAGATAAGCCACTGTTGGTTCAGATAATCTTTTGTTTTTCAATTTCATAGATGCACAGATTTTATTTGTTTATTTGGCCTGATAGATGCACACAGAAACAGTTTGATTTTATTTGTTTATTTGTATCAAGTTTAATTTTTGGCTAAGGCAACAAATCTTTCTTTCTTCATGCTGTAACCCCATCGCATTACACACGCAAACCCTGCTGGGAATCACATATGCGAAATGTTGACTATCCCCCACTTCCGTTAAACAATTTCAATAATATGATTTAAAACTAAGGTTATTGTAATAATTACACATTACCCCTCTTCTAACTTACTCCTTTCATCTTACATATCTAATGGCCATGGATTTGATCAATTACTCTTCTCACTTTGAGAGCATACATACATATATGTTGGTGTAAAGCATAATTTCTCTTTTTCTACTGCAACCACCATCACATTGCACAAATAGTGTGTGCACGATCTAGTTTTTAACATATAATTAAATTCCCTAAAGTTATCTTTTGCTAGTAACTTTATAATCCTTCTCAGCTACAATATAAATTGGAATTATGG